CATCATGATCCAAAGGCAGAGAGTATGAGAGAGAGACAGAGAGAGAGGGACACACACACATTTGAGAGAGAGAGAGAGAGAGAGAGAGAGAGAGAGAGAGAGAGAGAGAGAGAGAGAGAGAGAGAGAGAGACTGACTCTGGGTTTGGCATGGACTTTTAAAACCTTAAAGCCCACCCCCAGTGATACACTTCCTTCAACAAGGTCACACCCCTTAATCCCTCTAGTCCTTTTAAAAAGTGCCACTCCCTGGTGACTAAGCCTTCAAATATATGAGCCTATGGGGGCCATTCTTATTCAAACCACCACACAAATGACCCATTCAAAAAATGGGTCTGGGACCTGAACAGAGATGTTTCAAAATGAAGAAAAATCTGACTAGGAAATACCTTTAAGAAATGTTCATCATTCCTATCAATTAGGGAAATGCAAATCAAAACAACTTTAAGATTTCGTCTTAGTCCAGCCAGAATGGCAAAGGCCAACAGAACAACTGACAACAAAAGCCAGAGGGGATGCAGGGAAAAGGGAACTCTCATTCACTATTGGTGGGATTCCAAACTGGTGCAGCCACTGTGAAAATTGGAGTGGAGAATTCACAAAAAAGTTAAAATGCTGTGTGATATTTTGATTGTATTCTGACAACGAAGTTTGCTTTGAGTCAGAGGGAGGAGCTAGCCATAGAAGTCTTGGAGGACTGAGGACAGATAGGAGACAGGAAGTAGTAAGGTGAGTTGAGAGAGGTGACTGGTGGGTTCTCTGCTTCTCTGATCATTCAGATTCAATTTTTTATTGATAAAGAACAATTAAATAAATGCTTCAACCCAGATTTACTACTCCTTGACATATGCCCAAAGGACTTGACATCCTACTCCACAGATACTTGTTCAGGCATCTTTACTGGCACTCTATTCACAATAGCTAGGAAATGGAAATAACTGGCCAATGTATAATAAAAATGTGGTGAATACACACCCTGTAATATTATTCAAATCAGGAGATTTTCAGTTAAATGGGCAGAACTAGAAAAGACCATATCGAACATGATAACCCAGACCTAGAAAGAAGAATGTCAATTATTTTTTCTCATGGGGGCTCCTAGTGCCAAATCTTCAGATTGAGCACATATTCTGTAGTAGCTACAGAAACCAGGAAGTAAGAAGGGTGAGGGTGCTGGAAGCAATGAAGACTGGAAGAGCAGGATATAATTGATCTGATTAGACAAGTGAGAAGGGCAGGCTCAAGTTAGGAAGAGAGACAGATACCTAAGAAAGAGGATGAAGTGTCAGTAAGGATGTCTGTGAAGGAACCAGCTTCCCTTACGGCAGCCATAACGGTCCAACATGTGCTTCTATGACCTTGCCCTAGACACTAGAAAGTCAGATTCCTGTCTTGTGACAAGGAACCAATCAGAAGTTAGCTGGTGGCGCTATGCTTTACAACCCTGGGTGTGCTTTACGGACAAGCGCACAGCAATGACGTAGAGAGCATAGCAACCACCCTGGGAGGGCCTATGAGCCATAACAACCAGTTGACCAATCAACACAGGGCAAGC